GGGGGGGGGGGGGGGGATGCAATCTATATAATATGCCTTATAAGATACTTGGTAATGACTGCAAAACCTGTGCAAAATAAAATATGGATGAGTTAAGCTAGGGAAAAGATGCAGCATATGAACACATTTCTTATTAAAGGAGCTGATCACACTGCTAAAATCTTTATCTGCAAATTTTTTTCATTCTTGTCTCCCTCCGTTCATATAGTCCTTATAGTACTGTAAGCACTTTCACAATATTTTGCTTGATTTCCTCCCTTTAAAAGGCTTCTTAAGGAGATTCTGTATATTGACCAGGCAATCTATTGTTAGTTACAATACTGAGCTTCTGCATGACAGGCCAGAAATGCCTACATCTTAAAAGACCATGTTGTTAACACACCTTTTATTTTGAGAATGGTGAAGCTTTACTGAAGAAAATGTTTTAATCTGCTTTTTTTTTTTTTCTCCTATAGCTTAACCTACAGAACCAGGATTATTGTGCAGCCAGGGACTTCAAAGAAAAGTTTTCACCATGAAACTACATTCCAGAGTCTCACAGAACTTCAGCTGAGGCTAAAAACTTGGCAGTTCTCAGTTCTGCAGAGCATGAACTTGAATCAGTCAAAACAATAGGAAAATGGACATTTCCTGTAAAGACGTGATACAGTGCAATATGGACAACTGCAGCCCTCCAGTCTGGAGTGCCACCTTTTTTCATTTGAACCTGCCAGTATGGTGTCAGTGCTTGGTGCTGCTTCTGGCCATAAGGAGACTGAAATGTACTGACTATACTAGGATAAAGCCTCTACTGTATAGCAAAAACTCAATTCTTTGCGAGAATGATATTGTACACTTAGGATTTCTAGCACCATTTTAATTTCTAGGTGATTTTTTTAAAGCTAAGTTCCTCAGTTTCTGAGAATTTTTATCTTTTTTCTTTCATCCTGGGGGTTGAAAGAGCACAGATTACAGTAAGTGGCAAAGGGATGCTTCTCCCTTGAAAAAGTGAGAAAAGTGCTGTTTCTGTTGTTGCTCCACTTTGCATGGATTGGAACAAGTTAACAGAAAATGGGTGACACCACGTTGCACCTCTTACAAGAGGGCATACATGGGGAGCTTTTTCTAGTGGGGAGAAAAGGAAGCTTGGGACATCTCTTCAGTTGATGGAAGTGGATAGCTCCATTGGAACCAAGGGTGCTGTAAACCTATGTTACCTGCCTCAACTCGTACCTTAAATTAGGGGTGTCAAACTCACCTCCTGCCCTGGGCCATACCTGGCCAAGGAGCTGGGGCTGCAATGGGTAAAGCTGCTAGAGGATAACCAGGGCTGTATCAGCTGTCGCCTGTCCTCCAGCTGTCATCGCCACGTCCATTGGGGCCCAAGGGCCCCGGATTCTGTGGCAGGACACTCCCCCTGGCCATAAGTACCAATTTCTGGTGGCCTGCCAGTAGCCCACTGGGCCAGATACATCAGCTCTTGGGGAGTGGGTCTGGCCTGCGGACTGTACGTTTCACACCCCTGCCTTAAATGGTCCTTTCATGCTGAGAACTGGTACTTGCAGTGCTCATTCCTAATATGCTTCTGTTACTGTTTTAAAAGAATGTTAAAACTATTGGGAATCTAGTGTTCTTCTGCCTGTTATTAAGCTGTTCGGATACTACGGCACTCTTAAATGCTGTCAGAAGGAACAATGTTTCAAACCTGATGGTGAACAATGTCCTCTGCCTCCAAACTAAAATTCATAAAAATGAAATTAATTTAAGGGTTTTTTTGGTGTGGTACTGTATGAGCTACATTTTCCTACCTCTAGTTTAACAATTTCAGAGAATCAGCCTATTTGAAAAATTATAGAATCATAGAGAAGTAGGGCTGGAAGTGACCTCATCTAGTTCAACCCTCTGCTTGAGGCAGAAAACATCTAAATCTAGTAGATGGCATGAACTTCAAAACTTCAGAGAAAGGTGAAGGTTTTGCTATCCTGTTCTAAAACATCTTGTGGAAGGACTAACTAAATGCATATAATTTAAATGCAAACATACACAAAATGATTTTTCCCCCAATTAACTTCTGTAGGAAGCTTACATGTTAACAGTTGGTATATGTATAACTTTCAATTGTTTGTTTTCATCTAAATGGTAGTGTTTGCAAAGGGAGCATAATTCTGCTTTCTACTCTCAGTGTACCCCAGATCCTGTAAAGTTGGATTATTCTGTATAAGTATTATGGAGACAGTCTCCAGAACTGATGGGAAATCTTTGTATTCTTTCAAATTGGGTAACCTAAAGCAGCGTTAAAAAAAAGTTATTTTATAAATTCCTGTTGGGGGCCATTGTTTCTGTGCATATGTGTTGAATTTGTTTTGTGCTGAAGTAAAATCAGAGCTAATTCAACAAAACTCCTTTATTTCCACGGGAAAAGGATTTTTAACCATTTCTTTGTACTTGTGCAAATCTTTCTATTGCAGCTTTGTGCAATGCAGCTTGCAGGTCTGAAACAGACACTTGGATTGGGCAAGGAAGCAAGTGTTACGTTTGCCAGCATAATGATGTCTTAGGGTTCGGTTTCTCCCAACAATTTCCATTTCAGCCCAAGTACAAGTGTTTTTGCTGATGTGGTATATTTTGCTAACTGAGCAGTTTGAAAATATTTGTCACTATGAGCATTCTGGTGTTAGAACTACATAAACAAGCCTTTTAAAGGTGGACTGGGTTTTGTGACTGAATGTCACACACTGTGCGTGTGTCTACACGAGACGCTTTACTGCACTGTAGGCTAATTATTGCACAGCAAGGCGTGCGCAACAGCTACTGCATGCTAAATTAGGCTAATGCGTAGTTTTCTACTACTTGTAAATACAGGTAGTAAATTAACTGTGCATTAGCTACTGCGCAGTACCACTTGTGTAGACAGCTGACCAGGAGCAAATTGCTCCTAGTCAGACCAGGCAGCAGGGGATGGGGAAATAGCTGCCCTGGTGGTGGGGCAGCACTCCCCCACCAGTCCTCCAGATCCTATGCCTGAATCCCATGTCCCCTTCCAGCCCAGGGCTGGTACCTAGAGGAGTCTAGAGCTCCCCTGGCTGCTGTAGGGGAGCAGAGCCGGGCTCTAAATTGCTCCCCTTGGATGCATGTGTAGATGTGCTCTCAGGGAAAGCTTACTGAGCAGTGTTTTACTGTACAGTAAGCTTACAGTGTATTAATAGCATATGTAGGTTACTAGCAGATTTCTGAAATCTTTGAGTGGTAGTAATACACAAGGAATTTTAAAAAATAGCCTAAGAGTAGAACCTGTCTATAAAATAGTTAACCAGATATATCCTCTTATGACAGAATACATGGACTGACTTCACGCTTATTTTGGTTGTCATAAGCTTCCAAGTTTCCCAATGAGACTTAGTCTGGTATTTGGATCAGTAACAACTTGCAGATGAAATTTAGGTCAGTGGCATAAAACATAGTGTAGTCAGTCTTGCCGTGCACTCCATGCAGACAGTAACATCTTGAAATATTCAGTGAATTGAAGCACACAAAGCAGGTGTGGATTAGTGATACTGGGAGTAATTTCTTTAAGAGCTGCGTTTGGATAACTTTGACTTAAGTTTTTTTGTGTGTCCAAATATAAATAAAAAATAAAGGGTGTAAAGCCACTTGCTGTGGAGTACAAGAGCCATCATTCAAGAGATGACTTATTGCTGGACTGGGATTCTTTCTTTCTTTCCTTTCCTTTTGAAATACAGTTCAGTCCTAACTTTAGCAAAATCACTGAAAGTCAATGAGCATCTTGCTGATTTTTTTAGGTTGTCTTAGTAAAAGATTTGTTTTAAGCCATTTCCCTGGGTTTGTAGCTTATCGGTTCTCTCACACTTCTCTTCTGTCCATTATATAGAGTTATTCTAGATCTTCTTTTATTTATGCAGCTCCATCTTAGAGGCAGCGTGGCTTCACTAAGGAAATCTTCAAACTATATCCTCCACTAGAAGTAACTTGCAATGCAGTTGAAAGATTCTTAAGCTTCATTACATTGCACACTTGTCTTAGAATTTTTCAATATAACAGCATTCAAGTTGCTTTCTCTACGCAATGTCCTCTAACCCCATAACCTACACTGAACACCTTTTTCCTGTACTTTAGACTGGATCTTTTGTGATTTAGCAGGGGTCCTGGTTTTATCCGATTAAAAAAATCCCCAATTTTTGGATTAAAAAAAAAAAGTAACCCCAAATCCGTATTTTTTCTGTAATTTAAGTGAAACACCTATATTATATATATATATGCGTGTATATATTGGTGGTGTTTCATTTTAATCATGGATACATGTGGACTCCGGGTTACTTTTTTAAATCTGAAAATTGGGGATTTTTTTAATCAGATAAAACCAGGCTCCCTAGCAATTAAAATTATGTCATTTGCTGTTGCCGCGGACCTGACACCCACCCTCCCCGCCACCACTCCCTTCCCCTTTCCTCCCAAGCTAGCTGACCTTGGTCTCCTTGTTGAAAGTACCGTATGCCAGGAAGCATTACTCCTGGTGCTCACATGCCTCACTGAACATTTTTGGAAAAATAAATGGCCGCAGGCTGATTCAGTTGAAAGTGCTGATTTTATTCTAATGGACCTTTTTCCTGCCTCAGAAGCTTAACTTTTCATGCCTTTTAATGGAAATTAAAAGGCATGCCTCTGTCCACTCCCTTTCTGGTGCAGAAACAGAGCAAAAACATGAGGTTGAACAAGCTATTCTGAGCAAGTCAGAACTTCAGAATGTGATTCACTGATCCCTTCCTTGAATGATGAAGGATGATAGTAAAGTGATGACGTTTTTGGGGAGTGACTTGAAATCTGTGTCGAGCATGTGTCCTTTAACACTAAAAAAAAAATTCTGGCCAAGGTCAGAGGTGGTAGATTTTAACAGCAAAGATCTCTGAAAGTTCTGTGCACATAAGGATAGGTAGAGCCTTTTACTTCCCCTCATGCTGACCAGACAGAACATCTACTGTCTACAGGACAACTGAATGTACTGCCTCCAGCCAAGGGCTACTCAAGTAAAGCCAGACTTCTATGTTTGGCTGTTCCAGACCTGAGCAAAGCTGGACACTAGAACCTTAACTAGTGAGCCAACCTGTGTGCTCAATGAGCCCCTTGCTACTACCCATCAAAGTTGGAGGAGGAAGCAATTCAACTCCAGCTGTACTGGAGAGGAGGCAGCCCTTACAACACATGTGGCTGGGAGCCGGGTGGTGCCAGGCAGTGTGCCAAGGCAGGTGAGAATTGTCCCCACCTGGCCCCTGCGCTCAGTGATACTCCCTTCCCCATTCCCATCCCCCCCTTCCACTTCCTTGAGCTGACCCAGGGGCAGGGGGAGCTTGATCACTGGACTCAGCTGGGGACAGTAGCAGCAGCTAGCAGTTTCTTCCTCCCTACCCAGCTCCCCCTCCCTTCACCTCCTGGGTGTTCCCTGCCAGGCTGGAAGCAGGATTACTGGGAGAGAATCCATCTGCTGCTGCTATCCTTGGCTGAGTGGGGCACCCTGTGCAGCCTAGCAGAAGCAGCTTGGGAGCTCCCCCTGCTCGGGGTTAGCCGAGGACAGTGGCAACAGCAGGGGTGGGAGAAAAGAAGTGCTGATGGGCAGGGTGGGGGTGCTGAGAGCAGGGGTTAGGTTCTTACCTGATTTAGAGACTTAAAAAAAAAAGTCTCTGGCTGCTAATCCTGTGACATGGTCTGCCCACCCTATTGGGGGAAGGGTTAGGATTGAGTCAACTTACCTCTGCTGCTCCAGCACACCCCACATCACAAAATCCTGGATTTGCCTATGGGTGGGTAATGGAAGAGGCTGGCTTATAAGGCCACGCTTCATTTTTTTTTTTTTTTTTTTTTTT